TGTGTGTTTTTCGTTCTAGAGAATGCACCAGTCAAGCAACGAGCTGATCGAGTATTACATCCAACAGATCATAAGCAAAGGTGCGTTAACTATAACTCCCCATTAAATCGATAATTTTGTGCGACATTCTTTATCATAATTTGAAGATTTCATTTCAGAAACTTGGTAATATATGCCATGTGTTCAGCATAACTTTCAACATATTTTAATCGTTATTATGATGACATATATGTATATGGGACGATTTGTCGAACTTTCTGTCAATTTGTATTGCTTATTTGGAATATCGGTGAGCATTGGAGATGAATAAAGGTTAATTCGATACCACTTGTCAATCACACAAAACAGAAAGAAACCTGTTTATGTGAGCCTTTGTGGTAGAATTAGTGTTACATCAAGTAATACAGATTTCTGTGTAGGTTCAACACGCTGTGTGAATGAGAGACTGAAGACTCCTGTAACTCCACGAGATCTCGGACTTGTTGCGAGACATATCGGGATGGGATTTGAGTATGTCGGGATTGAACTTGGGCTCAGCGTTGTGGCTATCCAACAGGGCAGAGTTGCACACCCATGTTCAATGTATATGGAGATTTTGATTATACTCACTAAATGGAAGCAGTGGAATGGCAGTTCGGCCACCTATCTGGACCTGGTCAAAGCACTATGGACATGTAAAGAGAGATGCACGATCGAATGGGAGGACATTCTCAACATCCTGCAGTGACGGTCCTCTTTGTCAGTGTAATTGCACCTTGGTAGAAGAAATATTACATAAATATGAAAACAAACTCTTTTTATCACTTTGACCATACCTTTTTACCTTGTTCCGAAATATTGTAATCTCAGGTCTACAAAACAGCAATCAGTAAACGGGGAGCATATCATCATTCATCATGTTTGGGAAATAAAAACATTTATCAAATCAGTGTTTCTTTGTGTTTTCTGCATTTGCAAGTTTACCCAAGAACACCTGGAGTCAGATTGTACAACTCGCGGCTGCTACCGTATGGGAAGGACATGCGTACACTTTCGGAAGACGTGGTGTCATCAGTGATTATCAGTAATCCATTCCTATAGTTTTCCCCGCTATTTTGCCTTTTATGCACAATGGAATGTGTTTCGGTGGATAATCAAGACTGGTTATTCTCTGGCGTTGTATATTTATTAAATCTAGAATGCTACGTATTCGAGCTTACATGGGAAATATCTCCCGGAAATAATGAAAGTTCATTGTGATGCTTTTAATAAAGTCATGATCGTAAAATGGAGTCGGCTTACAACAGAGATTTCTTGTGATTATGCAAAGGGTTTTGTCGCTTCTATCTATACAAACATCTCTGACGAATTCAAATATCCCCCCCCCCCCCTCACAGTGATAGCAATGATTAATTACTCAGAAATTCACAAACTTTCTAAATTAAATTGAATAAAAAACTGATTATTCAAGTCAGTAATCAGAACATATTCGTAATTCGTAATTCGATCACAGTGCTATACAACCTTCATATCGTACATCGTTCAAATATTCAAACCGTCCCTCTGTTTATAATCACTAGAAATAGCATAAGTAAGCGTAAACGTTTTCTCTCCCTTTCTTACAACCTGAACAATAGGTTACAGGTACAATGGTTGTGGTGATCAAAAGATCAAAGTTTCATGTACATGAGGTGAAGAACAAATTTCTTTCATGGTATGATTTAAAACAGGAAAATACTATTTCAATTCTGGAAAATGAGTTCAACACAAAACAGAACATTTAAAGCCGTTCAAACATCAGTGCACTTCATTTCATTATACCTTTCGTCATTATTACGTACATTTGCCACATTCAGACACAAAGTCATTTTAGCCCAGTACGAACAGCTACAGGTGATGCCTCTATTGACAATACGCCTGTAAGCATTTTACCCACAGTATCCAGGTCTCGTCAAATGCTGACATAGTATCTGAAAACAGAGTTGCCTCCCTTTCACCAGCTGCCGTAAACGTGGTATGCATTATTCAACCTTTTCTATCCCTGACATTATCGACAACTGACTTCGTTGACTGGATACAAGAAAGGATAATGTTTGTAATAGCGGTGGCAGTACGGCTTGCGATAACATGTAATTGAAATGAAATCTTGATAATTTGAGATCAGCAAGGGACAATCACCATGTTTCGTCAATGTCCGGTGTGAGTGGGGGCTGAATCTAATTTCCCTTCTAATTAAATCTCCAGAGTGTGAGAGTGAGTGAGTTGGGTTTTTAACAGTAGTCCAGTTATATCACGGCGTGTCAGCTTAATGTGACAGGAAAGCCCGAAGTGATGCAGGTCTCAGACGTTTACCACTTCGGTGAAACCCAAGAGCAAGGATATGGTGCTGACAAACCTAGAAACATAACCTGGGCGCACCGGGATTCGAACCCACAATCACAGGTTTCTGGCGTGCCCAAGGGACGCAACTCTACACAGCAAAAGGCGGCGCCCCGAAAATCTTGAGGTTTAACGTTGCGTTCAAGAATTCTGCTCTTATATGAAGTGACGTGCATGCACGCGTGTGTGTATATGTATGTGTGTCTGCTCATGTCGTTTTTACAGAACAAGCCACTGATACACCATGCCGAAGTTTTAACATGACTTCCCCACTCTGACACAGTATACTGACCACAAATTGACCAGTCTTATCCCCTTAATGCTGAGCGCCAGGCGGGGTAACAAGACCACCACAATTAAACGTTACTGGGCAGATACTCTCTCCCTTTACGCAGATGCTTAACGAAGTTCAGGTGTGGTATATATACCCTCAATATACAATTATACAGACACTCCAAAGATAATGAGGTTTTAACATCGATGTGTCCTTTCTGCAAATATAACCAAGAAAATGAATACCATGTTTTATTGATATGTCCAGTATATGAGGATATAAGAATCAAATACCTGCCTGACTATTATTACACGAATCCATCACAAAGAAAATCTGTACAGTTAATGAACAGCAAAAATAGCCATATTCTTCTCAGACTTGTGTGTGTTTATAAGATATTTGAAAGAAGGATAATACATTGAATATTAATAAAACTGTGTACACCATATTTAGCTACGATCTAATCAGTATACAAGTGGTGCTTCACGACGAATTGTTTTACAACAAAAGGTAATTGTGCTATTGGCCTCATGGCCACACATACGAAATAAGTCTGTCTGCAACTCTACCCATACGACAATGGAGGCGGTCTAGCCCACTTTATTTCAGAGCAAGGTATTTACAAATGCAATGGTGCATGATGACAATTCTAGCAGGCTTGATCATCACTCATGTAATGTGCTTGCAAAACATGATGCTTATTTAGGCCATGTAACCTGGATAACTCCCTTCAATTGTTAGTTTGTTTTGGTTTGGTTTTGCGTATTCTCTTTTATTTGTATATAATTAACAAAGACACTTATTTGTCTTTTTTCACAGGGAAAGTGTATATTTAGATCAGGATAGTGAATATAGTTCGTGGTTGGTTCTGATTATGATACACGCTGCACTGGTATGGCTTAGTCTGTTTGACTTCACTGCGTTTGGATAAGCACCTTTTTCTAACTGTATACATATTCAGATATATACTCATAAAGGAACAATCGGACCCAATTGCCTCGAACTCCTGGGGACCAAAGAAATAGTTCGACTTATCCGAACTATTTGAATTCGACCTGGATCTTGATAAGTTTTACCTTTTAACTTTTGGGACTTTAAATTGAACTCCGAGTTCAAGACTTTGGGGTTCGACTGCATATGTACGTCTGCATAATTACAAAAGGATTTTCATATAGTTGTCACATTAATGAAACTGGTGACATTGTAGAAATTAAAATTAATCGCCTCTGTATGTTTATATTGTATGGCACAGTGTTACGAGGGGATTTCCGAATTGAAACGCGAAGGTAAACTTAGAAAACAGTTCAAACTATATTTGTAAATATATCATTTGTATATATCAGTAAATCAGCACAAAATATAAATGAATAAAAAAACACTTCTATCGAAAGGGGTTATACAATGGGTCAACTATGGGCAATACATAACAGGCTTCCAACATCTTTCGCTCCTTAGATACGTTTTCAGATACAATGTTTGTAATAAAAACGATATCTTGCGGGGATTCGTTCAGTGATCTATCACATAATATGTCAAATAAGAATATGTCAGATATCATGGAAGAATGTAATACTGGTTGGTTTTGCCAATGGCTATATAGTCTGTATTTGTTCAAGGGACACAGCTCAAAGAATTCTATTTGATCTTAGCATTTTCATGTTTGCCTAGACATCATGGAAATTAATAGGATAAATTGCTTTGAAATAAAACAATCATTATATTCCTGAATATGAGGTCACCGTGAACATACTTTAAAGTCTATATTGCATGTACAACATGTTACATGGCTTCGTATTGAGAGTGAGACTTCACAACTCTGACACTGGAAATGGTGCAGAAACAAATAAAAGTGACAATACCGACTATGATAGAAAGACACCCACGTGTTCCTGCAAGTACATATTTTACACAGTGACATGTAGCAGCAAACATTCATTGTGTACGTCAATCTGTACTCACTACCACTAATTTCAACAAAACACTTTGCTTTAAGAAAGTTCGGAACACACTGAAATCTGCATATGTCCAGTTATAAACATTTGTAAGAAACTGTTATGTAATCTTCTAAACATTAAAGTTAGACATGTTCCTAGAATTTGTAAAGTACAATGGGTTTTTTATGGAATCGAAATGCATACAGAAACGTCAAAACTACATCGACACATATCACTCCCACTACTTTCAATATAACACGGGGGTACGGGTGGCCCAGCCGTCTAAGGCGCCGCGAATCGCCGTGTAGAGTTGCGTCACTTGGGCACGCCAGAGACCTATGATTGTGGGTTCGAATCCAGGTTCGCCCAGATTATGTTTCTAGGTTTGTCAGCACCATACCCGTGCTCTTGGGTTTCACCGAAGTGGACATCATCACTTCGGGCTTTCCTCCCACATTAAGCTGACATGCCGTGATATTACTGGAATACTGTTAAAAGCAGCGTTAAATCCAACTCACACACTCACTCAATTCAACTTAAAACAATACAGGAAAGTTCGGTACACACTGAAATGTGCATATGTCCAGTTAGGAACATTTGAAAGAATCTATTATGTAATCCTCTAAGCAACATAAAGGATTTTTTCGTCATGAAGTTAGCTTTGGTCCTAGCATTTGTAGAGTAAAATGTTGTTGTTTTTTATGGAATTGATATGCTTACCGAAACATCAATGCTACATCGACACAAATGACAAATAACTCGTTATTTTCTGCAAACCAAATTCGGACGACTGACTCCTAAAGGAGGTTGTAAAACTGTATATGTATACTGTATCACTGGACACCATACTAAAAATGATAACTCCTTTCTAGACCACTTTTAGAGCTGCTGCAGCTCTATCTTTTCCCCAGACTCAGTGTAGTGAATGATGGTATTCTCAGAATTACTAGTGGTATCTGAACTAGGCACTTTGTCACCAACTACTGGAGCATGGACATAGGTGGGAACATGACTGGAGTTTCCATATATGGTTTCTGATCTTTGATTTGGTGAACGTATCTCCATGCGTGCAGGATCTGTATGGAGGTTGTTAAGATTTCCGTCTATATGATATGGTTGGGATGACTGCAAGGCGATCTCTTCCATAACACTTTGTCTGTCTGTGGAAACTGCTTGTCCCAGTTGACTCGGAACATAAACCCCTGGCAATTCTACTGATGTGTGGTTCACCCTGAAACAATATCACATGCACTTGACACAACATTTCAGAGAAAATAGGACTTAATCAAAATAATGATGCTAGTGTGACATATAATACAAAATCAAGATGTAAAAGCCGTATTCAAAATTCGTAGCTTATGAAAAAGACTCCAACTAAATGGAAGCCCCACATACTCATGAACGTAAACCAACGAATCATTCAATATTATAAAGAGTGAAGCCTAATTCAGTTCAAATATTGGTTAACATAATTTCAGCGTTTTTGCAAAGTCCCCATTGACATATGTAGCACATGGAAAATAAGGTTTCACTTGGAACAAATAGCAACAGAGTTCATTTCACCACAATGCATGTCTACAAGGTCCCCAAAACAACATACTTAAAGTCCCAAGCAATCCCAGTTTGGGAAATATGTCTTATTTACATAATCCAATATGGCAACCAACTGTCAATGGTATTTTCCATATTTCACATGAGGTTCAATGTTTTAATGAAAAACAGCATGTGTTGTGTTGCAAAATAGCCATATTATGTTTCTAAAACCTATTCGCAACTATTGATCGTTTTCGACTAAGGACAAATCTACAAAACATCAAGATGGCCAACAAATTTCAAGATGGCCGACACATTTCCTAAATATGAGTTTAGACTGTTGAAGCTTTCATCTCTGAAACCGTGTGCTGGGACGTATATGCATAAAACTTGTCACACTAACTGACTGGCCCAAAAATCCAAGATGACCTCCAAGACTTGGACAGACATGGAATATCAATACACTGTTGGTCTCTCATGACATGTTTGATTGATTGATTTGGGACTTTTAGTATGTTGTTTGGGGGGCCTTGTAGAAATGCACCGTCCATATTATCTTTTAGCTGAAATAGATATTTTGATATATCTCTGATGGTACTGTCCTCTTCGAGGTCTCATATGGTTTCGTAAGGTTTCAAAACTGGTCTACAAAACAGCGTATGCAATATATGTGTTTGGGCTGTCAACTCAAGCATCATTTCCATATTGCTCTTACCTATCTATAATTGTACTATGGTTGCTTGTCAGGTCATGTATATTTGTTGCCTCAGTTATAATCCTTGCAATATCATCGTGATGTTGCGCCTCTGCTTTTTGTAAAGCAGTTTCTTCTTTATCGTCTTTCTCATCCACATTTGCCTTGTTCTGTAATAACACCTCCACAACCTCCCTAAGTCCCTCGTAGGCTGCATCATGTAGAGGTGTGCTGCCATCTTGACGTTTCTCATCCACATTTGCCTTGTTCTGTAATAACACCTGCACAACCATCCGATGTCCCTGCCAGGCTGCACGATGTAGAGGTGTGCGGCCTTCCTTATCTTTCTCATCCACATTTGCCTTGTTCTGTAATAACACCTCCACAACCTCCCGATGTCCCTGCCAGGCTGCACGATGTAGAGGTGTGCGGCCTTCCTTATCTTTCTCATCCACATTTGCCTTGTTCTGTAATAACACATCCACAACCTCTCTATGTCCCTCGTAGGCTGCATAATGTAGAGGTGTGCTGTCATCTTGACGTTTCTCATCCACATTTGCCTTGTTCTGTAATAACACCTCCACAACCTCTCTATGTCCCTGCCAGGCTGCATCATGTAGAGGTGTGCGGCCTTTCTTATCTTTCTCATCCATATTTGCCTTGTTCTGTAATAACACCTCCACAACCTCTCTATGTCCCTGCCAGGCTGCATGATGTAGAGGTGTGGTGCCATCTTGACGTTTCTCTTCCACATTTGCCTTGTTCTGTAATAACACCTCCACAACCTCCCTATGTCCCTGCCAGGATGCATCATGTAGAGGTGTGCTGCCTTCCTTATCTTTCTCATCCGCATTTGCCTTGTTCTGTAATAACATTGTAACAACTTCTGCGTTTCCATATATACATGCCAAATGAAGCCCAGTTTCACCCGTCTTGTTTTGCTCACCAATGTCCACTAGTTCCTGTAACAGATAGCTTACAATGCTAACATTTCCAACTGCACATGCGTAATGTAAAGGTGTTGATCCTTCAGGGCCTTTAATATTGACATTCAGTTTTCCAATTTTTGTAATTGTATCCATGGTATCTTTGCCCTTTAGGCACAAGGATGCAAAATGTACATATGTATTCTTTCTTGACCTGTTTTTCTTCTTGCTCATCTTTATCAAATGTGACAATCTGGAAGCCACTGCAGACAACCCACCCATACAGGCAATGTCCAAAAGTGAACATTTACCAAACTTTACTCCCAGATCATCTGCAACTGCCAACTGCAGTTTAATGATAAGAGGTCTTGGGAGTTTGGGTAGTGTCATCCACAACTTATCCAACTTCCAGTTTTTATTGGAAAACAGGTAATCGAAGTTGGCTAAACTATTCCCAAAGCAACTTCCAAACAAAGCTTCCTTTCTGTTCTCTGCATTCAATTGAACACTGAACAATGCTCTCCTCAACAAATGTGAGTTGTCTGTGATGCTCGCCCAAAACAGAAAGGAATATCCATGTACAATGTCATTATTTGACAATACTTTCAACAGTACAGAACTGTCCTTGTTCATATTATGCAACAATTTCTCCCAAACCATATCAACAAATGTCTCTACCTTGAATAGGGAATGCATGCACACAAAGGCAAACTTTCTGCCGTGTAAAGCTGCAGCAAACCGCTTCGCTACAATATGCAGATCATCATGTTTCAATTCGAGGTTGAAAGACACATTTACTTGTTCCTGTTCAGTTGGATCATCTCTAAATGTCACATAACGAAATATGAACTCGATATCCATCCTTTCAACAAACTGCCTAACATCACGTAGCAGTATTTCTCTTAGCTTTATTGCTACTTTATGATTTCTTATTCTATATGAGCCTGCTTCATGATGGAGACAGCATCCCGTCAATTGGGATAAAATAGGTTTCATCACATTTTCAGTGTATTCTTCTTCATTGATGTCAAAAGCCTTAAGTGCCCAAACAATATATTTTTTGTAGGTTTCTCTTTCCACGAGAGTCCCTGTGTTAGACCCTGCCCATAGCATCCTCTCCTCCAGGTTATTCTCCGCCAAAGCAACCACTAACAAGCATGCCATCTTCTGCTTATGCAACAGGTGCTGATCCAAACATGGGTGGTCATCAGTATCTGGGAAAATAAATAACGTTTGTAAGAAAGCAATGTACAACATTGCACATGTAGATCTAAAGTATAATACCTTGCGTAACGCCTTACAATTACGTAACAAAGTAATGATCTCCAGAATGCATACTTTCATCACTGGCGATAGCACAGTCGGTTCCTTCATGTGTTTCATGTCCATCCTCTTCAGGAATAGTTGGACCTCCTTGTTCTGTTGTCATTGTACAGCTATTTTCCAGTACATCTCTTGTCTCCAGCGTTACAGTTTGAATTTTTTGTGACATTACCCTGTCCATCAACTGCCATCATGTGATTTCCTCCACCCTGCATATCTCCCTTGTCCTTGGCATACTGTAGTATCCTCTGAAGCACATACAGCCTGTATTTCTCAATGTGACAGTTCCTCATGATGCCTGGAGACTTCTCCGACAAAATTGCATCAGCAGCCTGAGAATATGACGGTTAGAAATGAAAAGGTATCTTTCATACGTGGTTATTGAGACACATGTTGCCTTTCATATCAAAAACATAGCTTTAAAGCAACCTACCATCAGAACGAATATCCCACAGCTGTGTCCATCAGACTGTTCTATCACTGGGTACTGTTTCTTCATCCATGACTTGCTCCCTTCCTTAGACGTAGATTTCAAGTGGTTTACAAAAAGCCTGAAGAATATATGTATATTACTCGATGGCGATAACGTCTTCAACTCATGTGGACTGGTGTTAAAGTAAAGGTAGAGCAGAAGGTAAATACAGCAGTGCCTTTAATATCTGCTTAAAGTTTTATGGCATTTCTGATGTTCTCTCCTGCTTTGTCCATCATTAGGTTTAATGTTAGCAAATACAGATGTTATGGTTTAAATGAGTGAGTGACATAACAGTATTTATGGCGTTTAAATCATTCACACAGTGTACCCATTTGGGGAACTGAGTCACCCTGTGAACAAGTTGTTCTATATATTCTAAAAAAAAGTTAAAGCTACCAATGTGAGTGTATCGAGAATTAATAGATGGATCTTATTTACATTCATTTTTGTTTTTGACAAATCAACATTTCAAATTGGATAGTTTGGTTTTAAAGGATTTGCGTAATGACCAAATAGAAATACATTCTTGATATTGAAATATAATCATGTACTTTTATAATGTGCAGCCACACGCCCTGGTTTTCTTATCTACTTCTGTCCACCTACCTCCAGTGTTGTACAACTGTGTCCTCCACATCTAAGGCGGGTTTAGAATTGACCACGCCCACTGTTCCATCCTTGACATTAGCCACCAGTAGCACCCAATGTTGATTATGCGGCATGTTCACTGGCATTAAGATCCACGTGTAGTTTGTCAAATTTTCCTGAAAGCTCACAACAAATGCCTTTCCGGTGTATGATCAATATATCCAAAAACATGTGCTTCACATAAGATGGATATGATGCAGTAACAGGGATATAAGTGAATTGGTATCATGAACTTGATACTTAGAACTTCTAAAGAACTCTCTCTGACAACCAGATTTTCACTTCGTACAATAATATGTAGCAAGATGAATATGTTCATGTGTAATATCTGCTTTTGTAACTGCATATTGAAAAAGGAATAGCATTATGATCAATGGGGTTACTGGCTTTGACTCAATTGAAACCCATTGCAGCACATGAATCCTTCATGTGCAAAATTGCAAGTGGCAATTACTAGCATATTGAATATGCAATCATAGCATAGACGAATCATATGTTATCACAAGAAATATACAATTACTGCAAAGTATCTTTCGAGTCTTGCCCATGTTCATGGTAGGGTGGACATGCAATGGTACACTGGGAATGACAGAATCATAGGAAATATAAAAATCTCACGTCACTCACATCTTTCCCCCTTATCCTGTCTGTGTACTGTCCTGCCTCCCACAGAAGGATTGTCTCTGTAGGCAGCACCAGACAGTGGAAGCTCACACGGGAACACCACTCTTCCTCCAGGAGGTGCAGGTATGTGTCCATCATCTGGACAGGTAAGAGTTCATTTATTAGAATATTTATTATACTGTTTCATCCCCAAATGCTTTCGCTTCAAAGAGAACGTTTGTAATTTCAAATCAAAGCAGGATCCGCTGCACATCAGATATTCAACATGAAGAGAATATCTCGGCTGTTAGCAATGACTGACAATTTAACTGATGATGTACTAGATTGTATGCACAATGCCCATAGCAGTTGGGTAGTGTTATCATTGCAGAATCGAGATGCATGGAAATGAGTTGATAATGAGCACTATTATATGAATTGATAGTTAACTAATACTGCTGTAAAAAGAAGAAACCGTCAAATGTTGCTGTATTAATCTTAAGAGGGGTGCTCAGTGGTCCAAGGCGCCGCATGTCGCTATGCAGATTCGCCATGGGAATCAACAAAGTGGTAAACGTCTAAGATATGCATCACTTTGGAATTTCTTCATGATTTAATCCAACTCACCATGACACTATTGTTCAAAGATGCGTTTAACTAAACTCACGCTCTAGCTTGCCTACATCAAGGCACTATCAATGAGTATTAGGAGATTGAACCACTCACCACCCTCACGCCCCCAGTTTATATCTAATACTAACATCATTTGATGAAATCGAAGCCTCCCATGCTCTATGAAATGATTTTCTTGGATGATTAACTAGGCATGTAGTTTGTGTTATTGTGTAAATAGAGCAGATGGAGCCACTCGTTGGTTTCCAGGCGAGACAGAACATCTCCTCTGATGGTGTACGTAGCAGCCAGTTGTGTATGCACAGTCACGTGACAGGGGGACGTCCTCTTGTACATGCTGAAGGTGTGAAGGAGGATCCTCCAGTGTTTTCACAAAGTCCTGTACTTCAGTTCTGGTATGACATGCTCCAACAAGTACTGCTGCGATGAGGTTAATGTAAACTGACCGGTCTTGGATCAAGTTCAGGCCGTCAGCACATACGTCAGCACATTTAACCCAGTTCCTTGCTTTTATTGCATCTAGATTCCAGTTCTTGTCGACCTCTTTAATGACTGACAAGCATGCGTTGTCTTTGTTGGTACAGTCCTTGTTCCAGAACCTTGATAAAGATAAAATCTGTTGCACGACCTTTATCACATCACGAGTTCTTTCTACGACTTCAAGAAATGTGTACAGATAACCATAGGGTGTGTTAGTGACACGGGTTACAACTGTGTTGTCATTGTCTACTTGAGACTGCAAATGGTTTTTTTTGACAGGGGAGCCTGACGTTGTACCCAAATATTCAATGTCATCATCACTTCTATGATCTCCCGTCCTGCAGCGTTTCTGATTTGTGTCGTGATCATTCTTTGTTTCAGTCTCTGACACCTTTTCTCCATTCAATGTTACACCTAGAATAGTGTTTGATTTACCGTTGTCTTCCAATTCTGTCGGTGATAAATGATCTTCAGGGTCCAGGTTTGAGTTACTGTTTACGTGACACCCGACTGCACAACTCCACCAGTTGATTCTACTTTTCTACATTTACTGTCACCTGAGGTATTAACTGTCTGTTGACCACGCTTCTTGCGTTGGGGAGAAGGCTGTGCTTGTGTGTGGTCCCTGATATATTGCACTAGGACGTGTTTCAGAGGCTGGTTGTACAGATACGTTGCTTCTCTGACAAAGGCCCTTGTTGTTGTCTTGTCCTCGGTGTAAGCCTTGTGGTACTGCTTCACTATGACTGGACTTGAGCCAGGCTGCTTCCGAGTTCCATCACTTCTGAAATGATATTTGTCATCCTTCCAGATATCTGCAAATAGAAATTAACATCATAACATTGCAAACAATGTTGTAATCCTGAAGATGAACTATCCCTCAAAATTCTTTGTGTGTTAGTGTGTCACCTGTGATGTAGATGTTAATTAATAAAACTGTGAACAGTCAATAGTGCAACATAACTCTAAAATCAATCCACCTTAATGCCAAATCAGCTGTAAGGTCATGCATAAATATGTTGTATTAGAGGTTGTGATGATAAATACCATGTCCTTTTCTCCTTCCCTGAGATGCAACACGATACTTGATTCTTATTTAGCCCATATTGATTAATCCAACAATGGATTTTCTATAAGTTGACATCAAACAATGTTCATTATTTAAGTACACAATTGTTGTAAAGGGGATGGAAAGAGTGAAAAGAAAAACAAAGATAGAACATTTTGCAAAAGAAGTCGTTTTAACAATGATATAGACAAATAAACTTAATTCACGTAGTCACTTATTGCACGACAATCACTTGTCAACAATATTAGCGAACATAAAACCGGTTATCACAGGGCTGTACAAGGAAGCTGATAACAGGGCAGGGTGACCCCGACGTCAAGCAGACTATTACTAATAACGTACATGTATATGAATGTGGCTTTTGAGGACATTGGTCATGTGTGCTTAAGAAACCCTTTGAATTCAAATTGTTTAATAAATAATATCAGCTTTCCATTGTTCATATGTAGTAATCCCTTACCCGCGGTATATTAAGCCTGAACAAAGCTGCCTCACCTTCTCTCATTCCCGAGGTTATCTTATAGAGGTACACCTCCCCTTCCTGGGGTGTGGAGGGGGCAGTCTGGATGGTCTTGCTCTCATCTGGACTCCTCAGAATGTTAACAATCTCCTCCACTTTAAGGGCTGAGGTTCTCTCTGTCAGGTAAGGCTCGGGTGGTTTCGGATTAGGCGCCATTTTGTAAAGTTATTAATAGTCACATGAGTCACACAGGCGTGATAAATAATCGGTTGTTTACTTGAACCTGTAGATGACAAAAGGTTATATGCTGAACTACACCTAAGCATGAATATTCATTATGTACCCTGTATTTGTCTACGCATCAGTGTTGGTCTTGTTATAACGCCTCAGGGCTTCATAAACGTCTCTCCTTGTACCGCAGGGGACGTTCTGTTTTTGGTTTGTTGTTCTGTGTGTGGCTTGTGGGGAAAATAAAGCGAGTCTGTCCGGAGAGCGGAAAATAGGTGGTTCGAGCCCCGGCCGCGTTTTACCAAACGATGTTAAATGATGATATTTGTTATTACCCTGCATTATTTCTGCAGTACACTGTGTGACCATATTTCAAGATGAGCATTGTACATGTCCGAGTAACAATCCAAAAAAGCGTCAGTCTTCGTGATCAGGTGAATCCACTTAATATACATACTTTATTGTGGTTTCAAATCAGGTCTTGATCAAAATATAACATAATATTACAAATTACAATATTGTTGTCTGGCGACATGAGTAGAGAAATGTTACTCAGTTAGAAACCTATTGTTTTCAAAGGTTTCTGATATTGTAACAATGACCTCTGTTGATCTTTATTGCCTGGTTCAACCTATGCTCACTGAGAGAATGAGTGAGTGAGTATGGTTTCACGCTGCTTTTAGCAATATTCCAGCAATATCACGGCGGGGGACACCAGAAATTGGCTTCACACATTGAACTCCACGTCGCCGAGGATGTTTTTTTAACAATTTTCATGATAACCTGTACCCCAACTTACACAGATAATTATAATTGATAATGTCTGCCTCCATTGAAGTATCCCAGCATTGTCATTGTTCTAAAGTTAAAATTTGGTTGATCTGAGTTTGCTTACTTGAAAAACATTGTATCAACATTGTTTCAACTCCGTTCGATATTGATATCATCCATGACAATTTTGTCTTAGATATTGAAATTGTTTCAATCTGACTTTCAAAAATGAAAAGTAAACTAAAAATCAATATTTCATAAAACATTTCACAGGTTGTTTATGAAATATGTGTTTTTGTTGTTAGTTGGAGTCAATATATTTAGACTCAAGACGTTTTAGACCAAACGATAATGATTAAGTAAGACTCGGAAGGGAAAGACTAGTAAAGTTGAATGAAGCCAAGACAAATTTAGTTGTACCAGATGATTCTGCACCCATGTATTAAGGGGCTAAAACAAGGACTGGTCGGCTCGGAGTCAGTATACTGTGTCTGAGTGGGGTATTCATGTTAAACTGCGGCATGGTATCTCAGTGAACTAGCACTATAAATCGGCATCAGTCCGGACTAGTACAAGCAGCCCCACACACACACACACGTACATGCACGTCGTTATATAAGTGCAATAATCTTGGACGCGACGTTAAACCCAATTTCACCTCACCTCAAGGCAAATTACCAGATGATTCTGTACCCAGATTCTTCAAGACAAGACATGTGCCATATCCGCTCCAGGATAATGTTGAAGCTGATCTGGATAGACTTTGAACAGTCTGGTATCATATCCAAGCTTTGATCTCAGTGATTTGGACGCACCCATCGTTCCCATCGTTAAAACATGACCAGGTCAGACTATATGGATACTTTAAGGTCACTGTGAACCCAGTGCTGCTGACTCATTCAATGGGGAAGGTAGACCTTAATTTTTACGAAGATAGACCTGAAGGGAAGGGAAATTGGGTTGACGGTCACGTCTAAGTTTAGTACACTTCTTAGGCGACGTGCACCGACCCGCACTCCGTGTGGATGCTCTATCACTAGACCACAGAGGCGGTCTAGTGATAGAGCCGTGTGGCAGAAGTATTCTTTTAGTGCAGCGTTAGGTAAGTAGGAGGTTATACAGATACAGCAGGGCATGTTTACCCTTTCGTGAGGACCTGGTGTCATACCTGATTGATTTTGTCTCTGATCATTTGCACAATTTTGCATTTACACGCTGTGGAACCTGTTTCGGCACATAAGAGAGACTGTTATTCTCTGGCTTAGACGCTTTGAATTAAAATTTAAGTGGGTAAATAGAGGTGGGGACAGGGTTAACAGGGTTGACCAGATGGATGTAGATCTCGTTCGTTCGTTCGTTTGTTGTTTAACGCCACACTCAGCAATATTCCAGCTTTGTAACGGCGGTCTGTAAACAATCGCGTTATGTAGCCAAGTATCTACATGTACGTAGTTTACACTTGGGAAACACGCAACCGTTGAAATAGCGAGTAACCATACTGGATTCAATGAGTTCCCTGGACATAATATGCAGCAGTAGTGTCTTAGCTGAACCGTAAACAGTATTGCAATCAATTATTTTCTTGTGGATGTTTACTTCTTTGAGTCAGTTGTTAAATGTCATTTTCGCCTTCCCACACACAATGACATGCAGCCTTAAATACTCTAAGGACGTTTTCGCCCACTAAATGATATTGCGAAATGAATTAAATGCCACGTGCAGTACCTGTTAATCTTGTCAGTTACACCTCCCCCTGGAAGAATAATGCATGCACACTGCCGTCACATATTAACCAAACAACATAGCTGCCGGAAAGGTTCAGCTTAATATTGTCCACATATGACACCTTTACATTGTGTATGGCTTCGCAGGCCCCGTTTTCCTAAGCGATCTTAGCGCTACGACTGTCGTAGGTCTATGCTAAAGTGTGGGAGTTACGGTCGCCCTGGTGCTACGATCGCTTTGTATGAATGACGGGTGCTACCGGTAGGACAGGACATGCTTACCCTTTCCGCGAACACCTGCTGTCATCATTGATTTTCAGTGGCACATTCATATATTTATTTACTTTCGTGCATTGACAATTATATATATTTGGGAACGGAGCCCTACCTTTGATCTTAACCTCAATCGGTGTCATAGTGTACGAAAACCACTTGAGTGTGACATCATAACTCCAACGAACCTTTTGCCAGTCACTGCTACAATGTATATACGCCGGTATGTGCATCCATGTAGTGACATATATTTATAGCCTTGCAAGGTTGACGTTTGTCGGATTTTCGGACCTAGATCGGTTCACTCACTGTACCGTGGTTGTCAAAGGGGCATGTGCAGTTCGTGATCAGGTGTTACGTATTCGTTTCATCAAGGCACGGCTGTAAGCCAAATCCTCACCTGCACCGGAGTCATGTGAGATACGAAAATGCTCTCCCAACTTATGATGACTATTAGGTATGCTGAAGCCATCAACTCCTCAATTAATTGTTGGGTTGCAGATAAAAACAACTGGAACATACAGACAGACAATGTCCTTTCCTCTATAGCCTAGGCAGGGCGGTCGGGTAGCCTAGTGGTTAAAGCGTTCGCTCGTCACGCCGAAGACCCGGGTTCGAATCCCGACATGGGTACAATGTGTGAAGCCCATTTCTGGTGTCTCCCGCCGTGATATTGCTGGTATATTGCTAAAAGCGGCGTAGAACCATACTCACTCACTCACTCACTATAGCCTAGGCTGTTATATGCCTTTAATAGAGCTTTGACTGCTCCAAATTAACTATCGATGGTTGAGTATGTTTGCATTGAAAAAAAACACCTCATTTATTCTGTATTAGAATGGTATTTTAATGCGTACGGGTGAGTTTTTCCTCATTATCTTATATGATACACTTGCATCATAAATTTATTCCTGATTTCAAATACAAACTTTTGAAAAATGTGCCATGGCCTTCACACAATGTAATCCCCACTAAACTCCCTTTACATAAAGGGCGATAACACAGCAAGACACCATACACTGGGCTCGCATATATCTATTACACAGCGCTAGGCTGGCTAGACTGCCAGGTCACATCACCACAAGCTCTAATGACTCTTACATCATTTGAGGCCTACATTCTGTGTATTGGAAAATCGAATTTGACACTATGTGTACACTATTGGTTCGATCGTATTAGTTGTGCGACAGGGACAATCCCTATTTATGGGCCGCTATTTATAGACAGGCGGACGATATCTCTCCTGGCGAAGTCAAGTGTGTAGTGAATGAATATGTCAATACCTGACCCAGTTCTGTCGGATTTTTCGGATGATAAGAAACGTGTGCTGAGAACAACAGGCAAATGTTTTCATGAGTTCATGAAAGCATCACGCTCAAAGTAAACAAATAATCATTTAATAAAACAGATATATTATTAATGATAGAAATTAAGTGCCAATATCATTACATATCCGGGTGCCCCTTTACCTACACGTACACTCTATAACCGCTGGGCTACCCACCGCCCCAGTATCAATGCACACGATGTGCATACTGATGATTCAACTCAAACCAACCAGTCGTTTAATGCACCTGGACTAGAAAGCAGGCCCAGTGAATGAAACAGGTATTTACACCGTCACTGCTATTTCACCCACACACACACACCCCAAGATTGAATGGTTTATGAAATCCGAAAATCCGCAGTCCGAGAGCTGGAACAAGATTGTCACTTGTGCCTCACAGGGCCTACAACAATTCCCGCACAGCAAGCAGGGGGAATCCCCTTTCCCTATTCATATGTGTTCAATGTAGTTGTGTAAAGTTGTCATATTGTCGCGGCGACTGAGGGATACACATGTATGTTTCATTTTCTCACTAGACGTCGTAGATACAGGTAGCATGGGTAATATTGTTTCATAATGGTCAAGATTCAGATATCAGGTAAGTCAATATTCCCTTCACGTATTTTCCCAACAATTAATGAATATGTACACGTGCAATTGCGTCTTTATGTTTATTTATGCATACTAGTGAATGTAACATTACCCTACTTCTTGTGACGCTACAGTTCTTAATCGTGGTTTAAAACTGGTTTAAAGTTTACACTATGCGGGATCCAAGCGTCTCCAGGAATATGCCTCATTGTGTTCATTTTGATTACAGAAAATGTCCAAGACAGACGACCACATAACCTGCTATTGTAACCATCAGCTCGAACTGAGAGGTACGTTCAGTCGCATTTAT